CCGCCGCGGCCGCTGCCGTGGGGCAGGAGGTCGGCCCCGACCTCCTGCTTGGTAGTGGGGGCTCGGATGACGAGCCTGTTTTCCACCACCACCACCATGAGTTGGAGGGGAGGAGGAGGAGGAGGAGGAGGAGGAGGAGGAGAGGAGGGAGGAGGAGGAGGAGGAGGAGGAGGAGGAGGAGGAGGAGGAGAGGAGGAGGAGGAGGAGGAGGAGGAGGAGGAGGAGGAGGAGAGGAGAAGGATCCCCCCTCCAACTAATGGCGGTGGTGGTGGAAAACGCACCCATCATCGGAGAAGGCCTCGTCCTTCCCGGCTCCCGCTTCCCGCGCCGTGTCCCCTCTGCCTGCCGTCAGCCTGTCCTGTCGGGCGCCGCTCTCCGGCGGCGGCAGCGCCTGGCCGCCGCCCCGCGTGCTTGGCCGCCGGGCCTGGGCGCCGCCGGCGGCGTGCAGCTGCTGCGTGGTGCTGCCGCTGCTGCCGGCCGTTGCTGCTGGTGCCTCGCCGGCGGCGGCGGCGGTGCGCGGCGGCCGCTCGGGCGCTGCTGGTGGCCCCCCGCCTCGGGCCGTCCGTGCCCCAGCGGCGCCGCTGTGGGTCGGGCGCCCGTCGCCTGGCGCGGCGGCGGCTGCCGCTGCTGCTGCTGCTGCTGCTGCTGCTGCTGCTGCTGCTGCTGTTGGCCCCTCGCCTGCGGCCGCTTGGGTGGCGGAGGGCGGCGGCCCTGCTGCTGCCGCTGCCCCCGCTGCCTTTCGGCGCAGCGCTGGCGAAGGCGGCGGCGTCGGCGGGCGGCAGCCCCGCCACTGCTCCCTGCGATTCGGCTTGGGCCGCCGCCGCGGCCTTGCTGGTCCTGCGACGCTGGAGGCGAAGCTGGAGCCCACCCTCATCGGCTGCCCCGATCAGCGCGCGCGAGAAGGGGCAGTGGCAGCCGGCCCTGGAAGTGGCAGCGCGGTCGGAGGCGGCGCGGGCCAGGTGTTCGAGGCCGAGCAGGGTGCCAAGCTTGACGGTGGCGGATTGGACGTCGTCGAGCCCGATGCGCTGGCGGCCCGCCGTTTGGCTGCCAGGGGTCGTTTCGCCATTCTGCGGCCCCCGACGCCAGGGCGCAATGGGCGCGACTGGCGCGCGGGGCGGGCCATTGCGCGGCGCGCGGGCGGAGGCTCGCCTCTCCTGCGCCACAGTCCCTGGGCCATGCTGGGTGGGCCAAGTGGGCGAAGACGATGCCGGGCCCGACGCGTCTCGGCCCGGCGCCCTACCCGACGCCGCTGCCGACGCCTGGCCCCCCGCCCCTTCCGGCGCCCCTCCTGGCGACGCCCCGCTCGGCACCCTCCGCGATGGCGCCTCTCGAGGCTTCCTCTCCGACGCCTTCCCCAGCGCCCCCCCCCGCGCCGTGTCCGCCGGCCTTTCCGACGACCCCGCCGGTGTCCTGCCCGCCAGTGGTCTGGTTGGCGCGTGGCGCCCGCCCCCGCGGCCCTCCGCGGCGGCGGGCCAAGCCGACGACTGGGTCGCCGCGAAAGCGCATCCGCGCGCGAACCTTCTGCCCGCGCCCGAGGCCCCTCGCAGTCCCCCTTGCGACGACGGCCGCGGGCGGCCCTGGCGCCGCCTGCAGTTCCGGCGCTGGCTCGCGAAGGGCGCCTGGGCGTCGCCGCCAGACGCCCGCGTCCAATGGGGCCCGTTCGCCGCGGATTGCATGAAGCAGGGCAGGGGCGGGCGCGCCCCGGGGACTTCCGAATTCGTGCCTTGCTCGACGCGCTGAACTCGAGGGGGGCCCTCGTGGCCTGCGTGGGGGGGGCGCGGCTGAGAGGGGCGTGGAACTGGGGCGGCCTGCCGTGGATTCTGCGCTCGGCGTGGAGGTGGCGCCCGTGGCCCCAGCTTGCGCGACGCCACCTTCCTCCGACATCTCCTCCGCCAGTATGAGCTGCCGCGGGCCGCTCGTGCGCCGCTGCTGCAGGGTGGCTCGCCTGCGCGGCCGCTGGCCGATGCCCGGCTTGCATCGACGACGCCGTGGCGTTGTTCATGGGCCCGCAGGGCGCGTCGTCGCCCCGCCTGTGCTGCGACCGCCGCGAGGGGCTTTCTTTCTGCCCCGGGAGCTGCCCCGCGGCTCTGGTAGACTTGTCTGTGAACCAGTGCGTTTCGCTCCTCCGCCCCGCCTGCCCGCGCGCCAGGTGGGCGCCCTCCAAGTGCTCTCCCGCGGGCGCGCCGTGCCCCCCCCGGGCGGCGCGCCCTGGCGTGCCCCGCCCTGGCGGGCGGCTGACTGGCCACTGCCCGTCTGGCTTGCAGGGTCCTCCCTCCCTCCCCCTGCGCGTCGTTGCGGCAGCCCGCCCGGGAGTTGCGGCCCGCGCGTCTGAGGGTCTCTGCCCGCGCGCCGTGTTCGCGCTGACCGCGGGCCGCCCCCCCCACCCCGCGTTGGCGCCGCTTCTTCGCGGCGCAGCGCCCGCCTCGCCCGCCGCCGGTCGCCGTTGCGCGCCGGCGCCCAGAGCCCCGCCGCGCCCGACCCCGGGCTCGGCAGGTTGGCCGCCGCCCCTGCATGCATCGCCTGCTGCCTCGCCTGCGGGGCGCCGCCGTTTCGGCGCGCCCCCGACTGTTGCTTCCCTTCCGACTGGGGCCCGCGCCCGAGCTCCACGTGCGCTGGGCGCTGCCATGTCCCTGGGCGCGATGCGTGCGCTTGCTTCTCTTCTTCCTTGTGCCGCCTCGCCTCTGCACGGCCTGCGCCGCCCGGCCTGTGGCGCTCCGCCGCTCTGCCGCCCGCCCCGCTCGGCCCTGCTGGCTTGCCTCCTGGCGGCTGCCCCGGCGCCTGCTGTGCCCCGCTGGCCTGCTCGGCCCTCCGCCGCGCGCCTCTGCTGCGGCCTCCCTGCGCCTCCCGCCCGGGCGCCCTGGTCCGCCTGCCGCCCGCTGCGCCCGCGCCCCCGCTTGCTGGGCCTTGCCCGCGCTGCGGCTGCTGGCCCCGCCCCTGGGCGCGTCCGCGACGCTGCCCCGCGCCGCCGCCAGGTTCTGGAGTCTAGGTGTAAGCCAAACGAGCCGCAAGGCATCCGTGCGGCCTGATGTCGTTTGCTTTTGTAGCCAGCTCATCGTGCGACGCGATGCTCGCGCATTCAGCCCCGTTCCCCCTTCCGCGGTCGAAGTCAGAAGACATGTGTTGCGTGCGTGAAAGCGCGCGTCTTTCGTGCGAAGGTCGCCTCCCGTGCTGCGTTTGCCGCGCGGGGCATTCTGGAAGCTGTTCGACTCGCTTTGTGGTTGTTTCGCGCTGTGCAGGTCTCGCGGGGAAACGCCCCTCGATCTTGCATTTGCGCCTGGGGTCTGCCGGGCTTGGCTGTTTTTGCGCGTGTCGATCGCCGTCTGAGCGGAATCCGCTTCAACGGACAATTCCTTCATGCCTCTTCCCTCCTCGGCCATCTCTGCCTCTTCCTACCTGCGTTTTCTCTCCTCGGCCCCGTTGCCGCCCGGACGGTTCGAACTTCGGGCCTCGAAGATCGATGTTCGATGGTTTTTGGCATTCAGGGCCCCGCCTCGTCGCTGCGGCTGGACGCAACTCGAATAACTAGCTGGTGCGTTTGGGCCCCCGCAGGGGCCTGGGGGCCCCTCCAGCCGGTGGAAAAACTGCCACTCAGGTGGGCATTTGTTTCTGCTCCGGTATGGAGAAGATTCATGCGCGACATCCTTCAGACCAAAAAATCCACATACGTACATGGAGCGACAGGCGGTCTTCATCACCTCGGCGGGCGGGCGGGCCTGGAGTCGCGGGTGAGGAGGCTTCGGGGCGCCTGGGGCTTGGGGGAGGGGGGTTCGAGGCGCCCAGGGAGGGGCCTTGCGGGTCCTGTGTTTGTTTTGGGCCGTTTGGACGTCTGCGTGGTCCACCCAGAGGCCATACTGGGCCGACTTCAAGGCCGCCTGGGGCCGTCATTGAGGCATCTTGGGCCATCGTGCTGTCCAGAGCGCAGGCCCATGGCATTTTGCGAGGGGTCGCGGCCGGTCCAGCGCGGCTCCGATGCTTCCTGAGAGGAGCAGGTCTGTCGGGGGAGAGGGGGGGGGGCACGCGGCGGCGCGCTGTTCGTGTGTGTGTGGCTGTTAGAATACTGCAAAAGCCGTGTTAAACAGTTGACTGGCATTTCATTGCGCCGGTGTGGAGCAGGCGCGGCGGCGGATGCGAAGTGGACCCTGTCTGGATAGCACGCGCGGGGGTAGCTCTGGAGTTCCCCGGCCCATTGCTGAAAAGTGATCGAAACGATGGGGGAGTTTTTGCCAACGCCTTTCCAGATGTTTGTCGATCTGTATTTCTACAATAGTTTTTTTTGAAGTCAGATCCGATACGGGCATATGTCGGATACTAGCTGCCCTTACAGGTGCTGCCCCGCAGCCTAGCCGCCCCGCGCGCTCCCCGCGGCGCCGCAGCGTGAGAGTGCCCCCCCATATCCCTCCGCGGCCGCCCTCTTCTGCCCCCTCCCCTTTTTGTTCCGTGTTGTGCAATTCGCAAGTCCGCAGCCCAGAGTTGCTCCACGCGCGAATGAGATGCCTCTGCTGCGCCGCGAGGGAAAACAAGCGTTTTGCTTCCAGGTCTCAAAATGGTTGGAAATTTCAAGTGATTTCCTCATCGTGAGACGGGGCTACATTCCATCATGCTGGCAATTGATCAAACGAGTTCGCGCGGCACCGAGGTGAGATATTCATTGAACTGAACGCCGATGCGGACATCCCGCCCCCGAGGCGATGATGCTGATGATGGTGGTGTTGATGGTAATCACAGATATGGCGATGCTGATGGTGATTATGCGACGATGTTGACGATTCTGATGATGACGGCGGAGAAAAGGGCGAAATTGAACAAGAGGAGGGCACGACGAGTTGGGGCAGGTGGCGGAGCAGGAGGTGGTGGAGAAGGGGGGGGGGTACGACTGCCACGACGACGGCGGCGACGACGACGGCGGCGGCGGCGGCGGCGATGACGTCTGACGACCAAGATGACGACGACGATCAAGTCGACGACGCCGACGACGACGACGACGAGACCCCCCCGACGAGTCCTCCGCGACGCTGGGCGCCGTGGGTGCAGCGCCGCCGTGCCCGGAGGCTGCGGCAGGCCTCCCCGGGGGCCTCGGGGGCGACGGGGGGCCTGCCTCCCTCCCGCGCCCCAGGGGCCCCCAGCCAGGGGCAGCGGCGGGGTCAGTTTGGGCGTATTTTTTCCTACGTGCAGGAGGGGTGCTCAAGAGAAGCGGGAAGAGCATGGCGGCGACGTCTCGTGCTCTGCTGTCTGCGTTCGACTGCCATTCGAACCTTTTTCGCTCAAAGTCCGCCTGTCGGAGGACATGCCCGACCCAAATCAGGGGCGGCGGTGGAGATGGATGGGCATAATGGGGGGGATGCGTCGACCGCCAATCGTCCAGTGATCGCCAACAGAGGTCTGACAGTCCCGCCCTGCCCAGGAAGGTGCGGACCTGCCAGCGGACCCCTGTCGTCGCTGTACCGCCGATGCCAGGTCGATGGTCCCCCCCCTTCCTCCCTCCTCCCTCCTCCTCCGCCTCCTTCTCCTCCTCCTCCTCCTCGTCCTTCTCCTCCTCCTCCTTCTCCCCCCTTACAGCGCCTGTGCGTTCCCAGCGCGTTGTTCGCAAGCTGCACTTTTGCGTTCGATTTTGGCGCCGTCGGGGAAGACGGGGCGGGCATTCCTTGGTGGTGTGGCGGAGGGGGCGGGGGTCGAATCGCAGAAGCAGATCGTGGCGGAACGCCGCCCGAAAAGGGGCTCGGCCGTTCCTTCGGCCTCCACGGGCCTGCTTGGAAACTCAGAGGCTTCACTCCTTTTTTTTCGTTCCTCAGGTTGGGACCCTCAGTGTATGCCCCCCTCCCCCTACAGTCGGGGCCCTGAAGAAGGAACCCTTTCCGTTGGGGAGGGGCTCCGTGTTCCTTAATTGTTTCGCAGTTTGCCTTGGATTTTCCTGATGTTTTCGATCGGAAATCGAAGTTTAACTTGTGGAAAATAGGGGCCTCGTTCATTATTTAGGGTTCCTTAGGTCAACGCCCCCCCCCCCTATCGTTGCCCCTCACCCAAGCAGGCGTGGCCACGCCGCGCGGTGAGTCCGCGGGGATTCGGCGGCACCGCATTGTTTTTTGGGGGGAGTCGTGCGCCGTGCTCCGGGGACGCCTCGGGCGACTGGGGGGCCCCGGGGGTACCACGTCTGGGCGGTGGCGGGCCGCGCGGTGAGGTCGGGGGGCATTCCGCGGTCACCACGCGGTTTTTTTGGGGGCCCCGAGTGTCGCGGATCGGCGAGGGAGCACAGGTGCGCCGTTCGGCTTCGAGGCCCAGGGTGGTCTCCAGCGGGTGCGTCTCGGCAGGAGTGCCCAGGGGTGCCCGGAGGTCGTCCCAAGCGGCTGCAGGAGGCTCGAGTCCTGACCCGAAAACCAGGCGCGAGGAGAGCAGAGGATGAGCAGTGGATCGTAAAAGAAACTCTGGGCCGAGGAGGGAGGAGGGGAAACGGGAGGAGGAGGTGGAGAAGGAGTAGGAGGTGGAGGAAAGGGATGAGGAGGGAGGAGGTTGGGGAGGAGGAGGAGGAGGAGGAGGAGGAGGAGGGAGAGGAAGAGGAGGAGGAGGAGGAGGAGAGCAGGAGGAGGAGTGATAGGGGATCCGAACAAACATTGCACTTCCCAGTAAACTGACCTTGTCTGACGCCCCGTGGGAGAACCATGAGCCCGACGCCCACGAGATGCTGGCGGCGCCTCCGGCGCCATCCACGGCTCAGGGGCAAATTTGGATTATTATCTTTTGGAGAGCATATGAAAGGATTGCCCTGACCAGGGGATTGGCTGGAGGGGATTGGGCGTGGATGGTTGGCCATATTCTTGGGGCTTGGCCGGGAGGGTTGGCCAGGTCCGTTGTTCCAGGGAAGTCTGCGCAATCGCATCATTGATTCACTGTTTTCCATTGAACGCAAGCGTGTGGATGTAACACACTCCATTGGACGCAATCGTGTAGAATCTCTGTCCCGATGTTCCTCCTCGTCCTGGTCGTTGTCATATTGATTCGCTTCCTTCTTCTGGAGTTTCTTCTTTCGTCATTCCCTAGCTTGGCATGCCCAGAGGGTGTCCTACTGACGGCTCCCTAACTACAGGTGCCCTCTGCTGGGTTCCCGCGTCCTATCCTCGGACCTTCCGCGAGCCTCTCGAGCGTATTGGCTCGAGCCAGAGAGCTCACTCCGAGGGTTCCAGCGCGCTACGGGCGCACGTCGCGTTGCCAGCGTTGCCGGCAGGAAGTATATATATATATATATATATAGATATATATACCGAGCAAGCCGGCTCGTTCTCCGTGCACATCGCGTTGCCAGCGTTGCCGGCATGAAGCTCGCTCCGAGGGTGCCGACTCGCTCTCGGCGCACATAGCGTTGCCAGCGCTGCTTGCAGGAAGAGGACAGCGAGGGTGCCGGTTCGCTCTCGGGGCACATCGCGGTGCCAGCGTTGCCGGCACTAGGCGCACTGCGAGCGTGCCGGCTCTGTCATTGTGACAGCTTCACTTTCCGAGCGGTGTTGGCAGCTGCCTCCCTTGAAGCTCCCTCAGGGCGGTGGCAGAGGGTTCGGGCTCGCGCCCGACAGCAGGTGGAGTTCAAATCGAGTTCGGGAGGTCCAGTCCGGGCGTGCGGGCTCGCTTCTGGCGCAGTTCGAGCAGCCAGCGTTCTTGCCAGAATTCTCCTTGCGAGCGTGCCGGAAGTGCCGCTGCAAATGCACTGAATTCTTCTTCCTTCTCGTCGTGCTCCTCCTGCCGCTGTTCTCGTTCCTCCTTCCCTTCGTCGTCCCGTTGATTGGCCCAGGCGTCAGCTGCAGAGTTGCAGCTGCGCCGCAGCAGAAACATCCAGGGGGTTTGACCAGGGGGTTAATTTGGGATCTGGTGAAGGGTTTGTTACGAGTTGCTTCTGGGTTGGCCAGGCTCAACTTCCGCTCCTCCCCCCTTCCTCCACCCCGTCCCTCCCCCGTCCCCAGGGTGGGGGCGAGGCGGTGGGGAGGAGGGGAGGAGGACGAGGGGGAGGAGGAAAAGGAGGAGGAGGAGGAAGAATAATAATACTAATATGACGAAGCAGAATAATAATACTAATACTACTAACAATAATATGAATAATATTACGAAGACGAATAATAAAACTACTAATACGAAAATGAAGAATATAATTAATAATGAGAAAAAGGAGAATCTTATTAATCGGAAACATACTAGTAATACTAATGATAAGAATAAGAATAATACTACTAATAACAATACTAATAAGAATAGTAATAATACTACGAATACGGAGAATAATACTAATACGAAGAAGACTAATAATCATATTACGAATAATCATAAGACTACCAATAATAATATTAATACTAAGAATAACAGTACTAACATTTATGATAACAAGAAAAATAAAAGTACGACTCATAATAAAATCAATAAGCATACTACTAATACTGATAAGAACAAGCATACTACTACTACTACTACTACTACTACTACTACTACTACTACTACTACTACTACTACTACTACTACTACTACTACTACTACTACTACTACTACTACTATACTACTACTACTACTACTACTACTACTACTATGAAGAAGAGGAGGTGGAGGAGGAGGAGGTGGAGGAGGAGGAGGGGAGGCGTGCTGGGCTCTCCAGGGTGGGGGGGTCTTTTGTACGCACGGGCATGGCAAGGTGCTTCCCTTGCTGGGGACAAGTTCCCAACCATTCCCACTTCCCCACTGCTTTCTTGGCTCCCGTGGCACCGAGCGAGGGCCCCGCCGCCCCGTCGCTCGGGGGCGCGCGCCCACCGCGGCGTGTCTCGTGGGCCGAGTGCGGCGAGGGCACCGCGCCCTGGCAGGTGGTGTGCAAGCAGCCTACGCTCGGGCAGCGCGGAGGGCCGCCGCAACGCGCCGCTGGTGTCTTGCCAGGGCTTCGCAAGCCGCACTGGGGCCGCGGGCGCTGCGGGATCAGCAGTAACAGGGCCACCCGGTTGGGGTGCCGCGGCTGCGGCGCAGGGGACCCCTTTGTCCTGGCGCCAGAAGGCGCTGGCAGCCGCGGCGGGGGAGGCCAAGGCCCCCCCCGCGCGCGGCGCAGGGCCGAAACCGAGTGGGCCCAAGGCAAGCGCTGGCGCTGGAGGGAGTAAACCCAAGCCAGCGGAGGTGGCGGCCGAGCAGTCAGCAGTTGCCGCTGGAGGCGCCAAGGCTGCAGGCGGCGGCCTGTCGGTGGCGGACATCGCGTTGCAGCTGGCGGCCTTCGGCGTGGAACTGTCGGCGGCCGGCAATGGCAAGCTTGTGGCGAAGCCCGAGCCGCCGAAGGAGGAGAAGCCGAAGACGCATGCGCAGGTATTGCAGGGCTGCCCGTGGAAGGTGGAGCGCCTCGGCAAGCAGGTGCGGGCGCGCGCGGCGGCGCAGGGGGCGGCCGAGGGGCGGGGCCAGGAGGCCCGTGAGGCGCTGGGGGCTGCCAAGCTGGCCTCTGCCGAAGCCGTCGAGAAGCTGGGCGACGCGCGGGCTCAGCTCGAGCAGGCCATGCGTGTCCAGGCGGTGGAGCTGCTGCCAGGGTCCAACTCGGCCCATGCAGGCAGCCTCGCCAACTTTCAGGAGGAAATGGTGACGCTTGCTGCCCTTGGTGCCGAGCACAAAGGGCCGCTCGGGGAGGCCATCTTGCAGGCCAAGCTCGCCGTGAAGGCCGAGGTCGACGCGCTGCGCAAGCAGGTGGGGGCCGAGAGCATTGTCACCCCCCCGTGGGCGAAGAGATGGACGACGTCGAGGCGCCCGCAGGGGGGGCGCGTGCCGATGATGCTGCTCCTGCTGCTCCAGGCGGCGATTGCGGTGGCGGGATCGACCGCGAGGGCGCGGCTTGCTTCGGGTCGATCTCCAAGTTGTACGGGGGCGGGCGCCGCAAGTTTGAGGAGTCGTACCAGTCGGCAGGAGTGTCCGCCCCGTCCTTCTAGAAGCTCGAAGGTGGGGGGGGGTGTCGAACGCGACGAAGCAGCGTCTCAACCGAGCGCGCCGCGAAGGCGATGCCTGGGGGCTGGGCGCGGCCAGCGCGACCTCCAGGACAAGCGTGATGAAGCGGTTGCAGCAGGGCGCGACCAGCGACGCGGTCTTCCTGCAGGAGGTCGGGGTGGCGCTGGGCGCCAAGGCGGAGGCGGATCAGGCCTGCCGCCGAGAAGGCTCGACAGTGGCGTTCAACGCGTCTGCGCGGACCGGCGAGGGCGGCCTTTCCAGCGGCGCGGGGAGCGGGGTGCGATCCCACATCGGGATGGGAGACCCGGCGAAGGGGCCCGCTCTCCCGCGAGACCGCGTCATCGCCCGCTGGGTGACCTGCGCGGTCCGAGGAGGGTTCCTGGCGGGGGGTCGAATCTGATCCTCGGCCAGCTTGGGCGCTGCCTGATCCGCGCGGCGGTGCCGCGCGTGGTTGGCGGCGACTGGAACTGCAGGCCGAGCGAGCTCCAGGAATGGGGCTGGCCGCATGCGGTCGACGAGGTCACGGTCGACGAGGTTACGGTCACGGGTCGGCGGTGTGCCTCCAGCGAGGGGGGACGATCCCGACCTCGGCGAAGGTGGTAATATTCTGGTCTCCAAGGTGACCGACAGATTGCCATCAACACCGAAATGTAGGATCATTTTCCCCATGTGGAGGCACCCCCTTGTGCTGATGTTGGTGCCAATTTCCAAGCTCCTGGTCGATGTTTCTCGAAGCAAGGGCATAAACATGAACTTCCGGCGCTCCGCGCGGATGTCCTGGATCGGCGCCCGGGCCCCCCCCGGCGGCGCCTCCGGCGCCGCCCCTGGCGCGCTCGGGGGTCCGGCGCAGGTCCAAGAAATCGCACGGAGCGCTACAAGTTTACGCATATGCCGTTTTAGATATGGCGGTCGTCTGAGGGGGGCCCAGCGCGGACCCAAAGAAATCCGCGCCGAGCGCCAAAAGGTTATGTTTATGGCGTTGTTTCTTTTTTTGAAGCTTCCACAGTTTTTGCTCTTCCCCAGGTTGGGCGACGTCTGGGACACACGGCAGACAGGCAGGGGCTCTCCTTCGGGGTGGCGTACTATAAAGCTTCGCGGGGGTCCACCACCTCGGCCACCGGAGGATGGCCCAACAGGCCCTGTCACTGTCATGGGACGATGGCTCGCGCGTGCCCCACGGGTGCTCAGTCAGACAGTCTCCTGATCGCGGATCGCGGTTCGATGTTTGAGTTTCTGTATGTTTTTTGATTGCTCTGGGGTACCCTCGTGGCCACGGCTGGAAATTCTGGCCAGAATTCGTTCAAGGATGGGTCGATCATATCCCAGAAAGCATTTCTTGGATCCGCGCTGGGCCCCCCGGGCGGCGCCTCCGGCGCCGCCCCTGGCGCGCTCTGCGCGCCAGGGAGGGGTCCAGCGCAGATCCAAGAAGTCCGCGCGGGGCGCCAACAGTTTATTTTCATGCCGTTTTTCTTCTTCCAACAAAAACGCAGACACAAACGAGCGTCGATCCCCAGGAAAAGATGGATCAACATTAATGTTGGAAGTGGAGGGGAGCTCGACGAGACTCCAGAACACGCGTGTGGAAACATTTTTCGACGAGACTCCGGAACACGCGTGTGGAAACATTGGGAGTCCTGGGATTCCCGTCCACCTATTTGTGTGTCCCTGGGCCCCCTCGGATCCCCGCGGCGAGGCGGCGGCGCCGCCGCCGCCGCCGCGGCGACTACCTCCGCCGTCGAGTCGCCCGAGCTCGGGGCGCTCGCGTGGCGCGAGGACGGCGGCGCTCTCTGTGCCTTGCCCTGCGACGGAGCAGCAGGAGGAGGAGGAGGAGGAGGAGGAGGAGGAGGAGGAGGAGGAGGAGGGGGAGGAGAGGAGGAGGAGGAGGAGGAGGAGGAGGAGGAGGATCAGGAGGATGGGCGGCGAGCGACGGTGGGAAGTGAGAGGGAGGAGGCCTTCTCAGAAGGCGGCTCGGCTTCTCAGAAAAACCCTCCAGCCCTCTGAGTGGTCTTCTGCGCTTTCCCTTGTCGGAAGGCCAGGGGGCTTCGGGGCCTTCTCAGACGGCCTTTTTTCCTGCTCGCTTCTCTCCTGGGCTCGCCGCCGAAGGGAGGCGGAGGGATCGCGAGGACGAGGAGGTCCCAGATCTCCGACGGTCCGATTTTTGTCCACGTCTGGCGCTCGGCTGCCCTTGCGGCGGCCTCCGGGGGCCAGCCGGAACGGGTCCGGTGGGAGCAGCTACGCCTGGGGAGCTTGCCCGACGCGAGGACAGCGACGCTCGCCGATCGTTTGCTGTTCGGGGGGAAGGAGGAGGAGGAGGGCTTAGATCTCCGACGATCTATTGTTGGGTCGGGCACGTCCCCTTGCAGAGGGTATATTCAAGAACAGTCAAACACAGTCAGGGGACGACTTTCCACTATGTCGGATCCTGTTTGAATCTTGTGTTGCCTATGTTTTCAAGGTTTCCTCCAACACCTGCCTGTAGGAGGACCTGCCCGACCTAAAATATACTGTCGGCCGAAGATCAGAACAGTTGCAGACTCCTAAACTTCCGAGGGGCCGCGCGGATTTCTTGGATCGGCGGCCCCGCCGCCTTTGAGGGGGCCTGCTCCTGCTCGCTTCCTCCCCGGGCGCGTCGCCGACCCGCGTCCAAGCCACGGCCGGGCCAGAAGGCGGCAGACAGGGGGGGCCCATGCCAAGAAACACCCTGCTCGCCTCCAGGGTGCCCTGGGCTTCTCGGGTTTCGATGGTTTGGCGATGGGAAGCGTGACGCTCCCACGTCAAAAAGCAATGGACGTCCTGGGGTCTCAGGGTTGGGTGCCCTGTGGAAGGTTTCTGGTGGTTGGCCCCCCGCCGTGAGCACTGACTTGTGGAGGACCACGCGGATTTGTTGGATCAGCGCTGGAGCCCCCTGAGGACGCCTCCAGCGCCGCCCCTGGCGCGCTCCGCGCGCCAGGGAGGAGGGTCCAGCGCCAGCTCCAAGCAATCCGCGCCGACCGTCGACAGCTTACTTGATGCTTCTGCCGCGTTCTCTTGTCTTGAACCGGGACGCTGATGCAAGGACCTGTCTGGTCCCAGGAGGGCTCAGGCTTTTCGGGCTCGTTGTTAGATTTCTGTCGTTTTTTTTGTTTTTGTTTTGTTTTTTTTGTTGTGGCTTGGGGACGTCTGAGGACATCCGTCAGAGGGTGCCCGCCCAGGACGGGCCTCTTAGGCTCTGCAGGGGGCAGTCGCGGGTGCAGGCGAGTGTTCTGCTCTGGACGTCGCATTCTCGGCTCCTGGGGGTTCCCCAGGCTTAGTGGGCCCCGGAAACGGCAGGGTCGTTTTTCCACCGTTTCCGAACAAGTGCCCCTCGAAAATGGAAACGGCAAAACAACGGCGACCGGAAACGGCAACAAAAACGGCTTCAGGCTTGGAGCCGGAGCCGGAACGGGTAAAACAACGGCGACTGAACCGGTAAACAAACGGCGTCGGAACCGGCAAACAAACGGCAAAACGGAACCGGTAAAACAACGGCCCTGTCGTTTGCAGGGCACATTAAGTCTCCAGGTGAGCGACGAAGGAACGGGTTCGTCTTCACCGACATGGGTTGGGTCGGCCGCTCGCTCTGCTACCAGTCATCACCGTGAGTCCCTCGGCCTGGGTGCCTACGCATCATCTCGGGGGTGGACAGAACCCCCAGCAGTGACACGTAAATTGTCCGTTTTCGGTTCTCGAGAGGGTGTCGTGGCCGTTATTTTCCAGACCTGCGCCCGCCAGGTTTGGGCCTCAGGTCGTTTTCACTAAACCACGTTTTACTAAAGGGGGGTCTGTCCATCCCCGATCATCGTAGCATGCCTCGGCATGGCGGTGCCGATGCCTCGGATGCCTAGGCATCTGCATGGGTATGCCTACGAGTGCATTGCGGGATGCGTCCATGGACATAGCCGGACTCAGCTGGGCGTGGCCGATGCCGAGGCATCGACCTGGGGATGCCGAGGCATCGAGCTGGCGATGCCTCGGCATCGGCAGGAGGGTGCGCAGGGTACTCCAGATTCCATAATAAAGTAGGGGGGGTCACATTCGGAGGGGGGGGAGTCTAATTTGAGCCGTTCTGGAAGGTTCGGGGGGGTCTGGGCAAAGGGCCGCCCTTTGGTGGATGGTCTGGGGGGGTCTAAAACGTCTCGTCTGGGAGGGTTGTGACCCCCTCCCTTTATTACGAAAGCTGGGGTAGGCGTCGGTGGTCCGAGGCACCAGGAGGCACCAGGCCGTGCCGAGGCGTTGGCGCCTCTAGGCTGCCCGCGGGAGGGCGCGCGCGCGGGAGCGCCCCCCGCGTCCAACCGCGGCGTGCCGCGCACTGGGCGGCCTGCGCAGGCCCCCGCGCACGGCCGCTGCGCCCTCTCGCGCGAGGCCCTCTTGGGGGCCCCTTGGGAAATCTTTGCGTCCTTTAACCCCGACTTTGGGCCCTCTCGGGGGCCTCTTGGGAGCTCTCTAGAAGGCCTCTTGGAGGCGTCTTGGGCTGTCTTGGGCGGTCGCCTGGATCCGGCGATCGGCGGAGCTCGACAAAGAGCAATCACAATCTTGCACATACATACACTTTTTGGCGCTCCGCTCGGGTGTCCTGGATCTGCGCTGGGCCCCCCCCCCAGGCGGCTGCTCCGGCGGCGCCCCTGGCGCGCTCCGCGCGCCGGGGAGGGGGGTCCAAGAGCTCCGCACGGCGCGCCACAAGTTTACGCCTATGCCGTTTCTTTTGGACGTGGCGATCGGCTGAGCGTAATCTTTCTTGAGCGGGCTTCGCAGTGACTGGCACTCATGACGCATTGGGCGTAAAAAGCATGACAGAGGCAGGATGGGGCGGCAAGGAGGTTGTTCCAAGCCATTCTGTGCTGTTGGACCATCGTTTCGAAGAGACAGCGACCCGCGTTACCTCACCTCCCTCCCCCTCCCTCCTCTCATCCTTGCCTCTGCCCTCCGCATCAGCCGCAATTCGGCACACCCGTCACAGGTTTCGTGGCCCCATAGGGAGCTCCACCGAAGGTGCCAGAGGCAAAGCTACCATGCGGTTCCCCCATTTCGGTACATCCCTCACATGTTTCGCGGCCCCATCGTGAGTTCCATTGAAGGTCCCGCTGGCAAAGTTCGCATGCGCTTCTCCGTCCACTTGCTCGCTGCCCCACAGTGAGTTCCACCGAAGGTCCCAGTGGCAATGCATGTGGTTCCCAGTCCAATTTGACACACCCCTCACACGTTTCGTGGCCCCATAGGGGGCTCCACCGAAGGCTTCAGTGGCAAAATTCGCATGTCTGCACACCCCTCACATTGTCGCGACCCCACCGGGAGTTCCACCGAAGGTCCCAGTTGCAAAGTTCGCGCGCCGTTCCCCGCCCATGGCACACCCCTCACATGTTTCGCGGCCTCATAGGTAGCTCCATCGAAGGCCCCAACGGCAAAGCTCGCATGCGGTTCCCCGCCCAAGTCGAGACACCCCTCACACGCTTCGCGGCCCCACATGGGGGCTCCACCTAAGTTCCCAGTGGTACAGTTCGCATGCGGCTCCCCGCCCACTTCGTCATCCCCGTCGCACATTTCGCGACAGGGAGCTCCACCGAAGGCCCCAGTGGCAAAGTTCACATGCGGCTCCCCGCGCACTTAGCCACACCCCTCAAACGTGTCGTGGCCCCATATGGGGGCTCCAACGAAAGCCCCAACGCCAGTGTTGCATGCGGTTCCCCGCCAATTTCTAACCTGTCTCAAACATTTCTACACCTCTCTCACAACAATTTTTTCGCGACCCCACATGGGGGTTTCACCTAAGGCCCTAAAGGCAGGGCTCGCGTGCGGATCCCCACCCAGTTCTGCACACCCATCACAGATTTCGCGGCCCTACAGGGAGCTCCACCGAATCTGGTGCCATAGCGCGGTATTCACACCTGCATGTGGTTGGGTTTTTCATCAGGATTATATTCAAGTCTGGCCTTGCTTCTCGATTTCGTCCTCGTTTTACCTTCTCGTCGCCCTTTTCTCCTCGCCGCTCGCCTGGCGGCTGGAGTGGTCGTCTTCTCGGGTGTGCTGGAAGTGCCATTGGCCCAAGGAGGATGAGGAGTCATGGCGCCAACATCGCAGTGCGTATTTCGTTCGGTAATCAATCGGATGGGCCCGGAGTGTCCAGAATAATTTTGTTCCGGATTTCGATGTGAATTTCGTGCGGATTTTTCTCGGCCAGGGATGAAGACAACACAAACATCCACGAGAAATCCACTTCGTTTTTCGCTCGCCGTTTCGGGGTTTTGCATTGCCAGAAATCCATTAAAAGATCCGCTGGAGCACATCTGCAAGGTCGGTGCAGTGATGATGAGGAGGAGGAGGAGGGTTCAGGAGGAGGAGCAGCAGTAGGCCGAGGAGGAGGAGGAGGAGGAGGAGGAGGAGGAGGAGCAGGAGCATCAGGGGGAGCAGCAGGAGCAGGAGGAGCAGGAGGACAAGGAGGACGACGACGAAGACGCGGAGGAGTAGGAGGCGTGAGCGCGCAGATGTGGCTTCTGGATCTGTTTTTCTCTGTTTCCTTCAGCGCTGTTTTCGGAGAAGAATGGAGGAAAGCTTCGGGTCTTTGTAGATATGCCCCTGGTCCAAGGGGCCCGCGGGATTTCGAAGGCACAGAGGGCCCCACTGCAGGAGCTCCAACATTTAGCGAACAGCCAGGCTGGGCCGGGGTTACCTTTAGCAACCCCTGACCTATGCGTCCGCAGAGTGTTTTTTCACCCTCTGGGCCATAACGCGCGTTATGCTCCCCTCCCTTCCCCCCCCCTCCCC